TTTTACCCTCGGGTGGCTCACCAAAGGGTGAGTCAACTTGGAATGACCACTTCCTTCTCTAAATTTTACCCCTGCCTTGCCCACAAAAGGGCGAGTCAAGTTGAAATGGCAACATCCTTCTCTAAATTTTACCCTCGTGTGGCTCACCAAAGGGTGAGTCAACTTGGAAGAGCAACATCCTTCTCTAAATTTTACCCCTGCCCACAAAAGGGTGAGTCAAGTTGAAATGGCAACATCCTTCTCTAAATTTTACCCTCGGGTGGCTCACCAAAGGGTGAGTCAACTTGGAGTGACCACTTCCTTCTCTAAATTTGACCCCTGCCTTGCCCACAAAAGGGTGAGTCAAGTTGAAATGGCAACATCCTTCTCTAAATTTTACCCTCGGGTGGCTCACCAAAGGGTCAGTCAACTTGGAAGACCCTCTCACGATGTAAGTGCGCGAGCAACGACGAGCATACCTTTTTTTTATGCCACGCAGTGCAATATCGGGCAGAAAAAGTCTGGAGCCAAATGATTACTAGAACTCCCCGACGATTACATTCGGTAACACCCCGACGCTTACATTCGATACTAAAGGCCCCCGACAATTAAATTCTGTACTAAAACTCCCCGACGATTACATTCGGTACTACAGCCCCCCGACAACTACGTTTTGTACTAAAACCTCCCGACAATTACTTTCTGTACTAAAACCTCCCGACAATTACTTTCTGTACTCAAAACTCCCGACAATTACTTGCTGTACTAAAACCTCTCGAAAATTACTTTCTGTACTAAAACCTCCCGACAATTACATTCTGTGCTAAAGCCTCCCGACAATTACATTCTGCACTAAACCCTCCTGACAATTACATTCTGCACTAGGACCCCCCAACGTGACCTCTTCCCACAGTGCCGCATAAAAAAAAGAACCTTTAGCATAAAAAAAGGAACCATTAGCATAAAAAAAGAAACCAGGAGCATAAAAGAAAGAACTGCAAGCATAACAGGAAAACCATTAGCATATTAAAAAAAAAAGCACTAGAAGCATTAAAAAAGAAACCCATACCCCAAAAGCACACCAACCCCGCTGTGAGCATAAGAAAAAAAACCATTAGCATAAAAAAACACCCAGCCCGTGTAAATACACGTGCACAGCCAGCTCACAGCACCAGCACCAGCACCGGCGCCCGGCGCCCAGCACCAGCACCGGCACCCGGCACCAGCACCAGCAACCTGTCTCCACCACGTGCACAGCCAGCTCACAGCACCAGCACCGGCACCATGAACCCAGCACCAGCAACCTGTCTCCACCACGTGCACAGCCAGCTCACAGCACCAGCACCGGCGCCCGGCACCCATCACCACCGCCCGCCCGGCACCCAGCACCGGAACTGGCGCCCGGCACCAGAACCAGCACCCTGTCTCCACCACGCGCACAGCCAGCTCACAGCACCAGCGCCAGCACCGGCGCCCGGCACCCGGCACCCGCCACCAGAACCAGCAACCTGTCTCCACCATGCACGTGCACAGCCAGCTCACAGACAGCACCAGCACCGGCGCCCGGCACCCATCACCACCGCCCGCCCGGCACCCAGCACCGGAACCGGCGCCCGGCACCAGCACCAGCACCGGCAACCTGTCTCCACCACGTGCACAGCCAGCTCACGGCACCAGCACGGGCACCCGGCACCCGGCACCCAGCACCAGCACCATCACCAGCAACCTGCCTCCGCCACGTGCACAGCCAGCTCACAGCACCAGCACCGCACCGGCACCCAGCACCAGCACCGGCACCAGCAACCTGTCTCCACCACGTGCACAGCCAGCTCACAGCACCCGGCACGCGGCACCAGCAACCTGTCTCCACCACGTGCGCAGCCAGCTCACAGCACCAGCACCAGCAACTTGTCTCCACCATGTGCACAGCCAGCTCACAGCACCAGCACCGGCACCGGCACCCAGCAGCAGGAGCGGCGCCAGCAACCTGTCTCCACCACGTGCACAGCCAGCTCACAGCACCAGCGCCGGCACCGGCACCCAGCACCAGCACCAGCAACCTGTCTCGAAAGCGCGCATGGGCAACTCATTGTTATTTGAAGTATATAAGAACCCCATAGCTTCGCTATCTGGGGAACAACAACAACAACAAGAACAAGGGATGGACGTCGGGAAGGCGTCGCGCTAATTTGCATGGCTCGTGTGCGCAAAGTCTCATGAGGGTCATCGTTTTGCGTTTTGTTCGCTTTCTAGCAAAAGTTGTTTGCCAAATGTATTCAACTTGCAGGCGAAACAGCGTTTTCAGAAAAGTTTTGATACTTAGGCGTTTGCGACGCTGCATTTTCCTGCTCACTTCGACCCGCTTCTCATCGCTTTTGCGATGGCAGGGAAGAGATCATTGCCTCTGTTGCGGCACGGAAACTGCCAACTCCGAACATAGTTCAAGAGTTCCGGATTCACAGCTCGACTCTTTGCAAAGGTTGTATTCACATGCTTGGGTATCTAAGCTTTCAAGCTCTTCCATGAGCTGTCAGCCAGTTGTGTTCCACCTATCTTCGACGACGTGGGCGTAGGCTTCTTTTTGAGTTTCTTTGTGAACTGTTGCTTCACATGTTTCAACTGCACTGTCTTTAGTTTATTGTGAGCTTCCTTTGCCTCTGTAGGCCACGCAGGAGCACCGCCGCTGTAAAGCAAACGAAGTTACGAAGATGTCTTGAAGTAAACAAAGTACGAAGTTATCTTCAAGTGAACGAACGAAAGAAAACCGACGTCATTGCCCCCCCCCGCCATGCGCCCCGTGTTTTCACAAAGCACGACCAAAAAATAGCACACCTCTCACGACGCCCTCGTGGGACCCATACCAACAACAACACCACCACCACCACCACCAGCAACACTAACACCACCACCACCACCACCACCAGCAGCAGCAGCAGCAGCAGCAGCAGCAGCAACACCAACACCAACACCAACACCAACACCAACACCAACACCAGCAACAACAACAACAACAACACCAGCAGCAGCAGCAGCAACAACAACAGCAACAACACCAGCAGCAGCAACAACAACAACAGCAGCAACAACAGCAACAACAACGGGACCAGGGCGGAGTCACATGTTCCGTTACCGTTACCAAACTGCCTAGTGACTAGTGCTATGCCACGTCCAAGAAAATATCTAAATTTGCATGCTTAAAAAACTGTCAGGTCCTCACCTTTTTTCAAACTTTGAAAAAGGTGAGGACCTGACAGTTTCAAAATATGGGGCAATCCTTCAGGTTCAATAACCCTGCAAAGGGCCCTTGTATGTTTGTCTGTGTATGTTCAGGGGGCAGCTACTGTCAGCTATGTGTTCGTTCGTCATATTTTCCTAGCATCTGTGGTTTCATGGTCAAGTGTTGTGGTAACGCACCGCTTCCGCTACTGAAGTGCTCGTGCGTATGATACTATTCTTCAAATCCTCTTGCTTCTTTCAGTACGGGGAAACGTCCAACTCTTTCAACCTCTTTATATATATATATATATGTCTATAAACGAAGTGTAAGTTTTATTCGAGTCGAACTTTCGACTGTGTCGTATTACGATTCAAAGATATTAAAAGTCTAGAGGGGGACGACAGCGGCACATCACTTGGCTGTTGCCAACCGATCTTCAGCGATGTTACCAGGTCGGCAGGTCAGATCGCCACATACCAGGCTGTTAAAATGACTTGAAGTCAGCAGCTTTTCGCTGCTGCACATGGATCGACTACTGGTCATGTCGCACAATAAGGCGTCATGACGACTGGACTTGCAACACACCACACGCAACTCTTACACAAGATCTGATGCACCCCAATGCCCTTCTGGCATAGTCCGGCAGTACATGAGGCTCGGTACGACAAGTAACAAGTACAGAAAAGAAAGAGAGGAAACAAGATGAAGACCACCAGATCGAGCTAAACCTCAGACTCGCATGAACTAGAAAGACCACAGCAAATGCTACTGTTGGTTGCTTCAAACGTGTCAAGCATATCAAATAACACCAACGACTGCTCCCAGTTTGTTGGCTCTCTCAGCATCTCTCAGTTCACCAGTCTCTTTCTGTACTGGTTGGCTGCGGCCGGCTTGCTGGGCAAAACGAATCGTTGCCGAATCTGAAACCAGAGTATAGAAGCAAGAAACATCATTTTGAGGAGATGACACGCTCAGAAAAAGGCCAAATGCGATGTGCCAAAGAGCAATTCAAGCACAAAGTATTTGCCAAAACTGTTCATTTTTGTATTCACAGAGCTGGGAGGCGCATTCACATTCACAACTTTAGGGTGTATTTGCTGTATTCACTGTTCCCTTCTGTATCTGCTGATTTTGAAGCCGGGTTGCCGGTTAAGGTACCTGTACCTTCAAAAAGGGTGGTGGTTCAGGTTCTGCATCAAGATTGGAAAGAACAAAAGAAAATGCAACTTGTCTTTTGCTGGACCGAGAGAAGGATGGATGCTGATAAGTCTTGCAAGTTTAGACCCACCTTGCGGCGATGCTTCCCCTTCCTCGGCTCGCAGCTGCTCCAAATCCCATACAACTGCAAGCAAATCTGAGAGGCCCAAGCCTTTTTCTCTGTCAGAGCCTCCTTCCTCTGCTCCTGATAAAGAACGCTGCGAATCATTGCCCAAGACTCAGAAAGCGGATCTAATCCAATCGGTTACTGTGAGAATGGATTCTTGACACGTCACTATGTTGCACCTGCTTGGCCTTAAGTTCCTCAAGTAGTGAGTCCATCTCGCGTCGTCCAGGAGGACCCCGCCTGTTCTCAAGAAAGACGAATCAAACGGCTGACGAATGATCATCACTTGTTTGTGTCTTTCTTCTTGTGTTTTAAGATGTGTTTCTTCTCAGAAACTGGCGCCGTCGACGATGTCGCTGGCAGTCTGGGAGCCGGGGCATGTCCTGTGTTCAACAGCCCTACACAAAAGCGCTCAAAAGTATTGCATCACAAAGTAGTCAGGAAAAACATCCTCCAAGACCTTGCACGTAACGGCCAGACTGCACCTTTGTGACTTGGCCCTGTTCTCTTGAATCAGGATGCATGTTGATATATAAAAAGACATATCTATAATGTATATATATATATGTATAATTGTTTCGGCACGGACTGCCATCCACTGAAAAGACTGATCAAAGGGCCCAAGCAGTGGAATAGACTGCTGGCGATACCATACGGCTAAGTGAAGCGTTAAAAGAGCGAAACATTTAGGCCAAACACCATCGGATGCGCGTAGCCTGCTGCCTGACCGAAAGAGCACATGTCTTCGTGATCTGCAAGACTCCACTTGTCTTCAAGAACAACATAATTATATAACGTCCATGGCGGAATAGAAGCAGTTGTGGGACTTTTCATTGCAACGAGGCTCTCAATTCTAGGTCAGAAGGCCGGCTGGACCGTCACACGAGCGAAATGGTCTGACCCCGCTCTGCAGGGCCTGCATGTAACCCGCTGCGGGTGGAGGCGGCAAACCAGGCCTCCAGAGAGCCTCGCAACTTTCCATTTCGGAACTTGCTTTTGTCAAGAAAATACTGTCAAGAAATTTGAAATCTCTTGAAACATCTTTGCAAACATGCAATTCTTTTTGGACTCAAGTGAAGGCTTTGCGGGCGACTGCTGCGGGCCAATCTTCCACGCACCGATCCCCAAAGCTTTGCAGGCTTTGCAACCTTGCCTTTGCAGAGCTTGAAGCAAAATTGCATTTCGCCTTGAGACCGAGTTGCACACTCGCAAGCAGAATCCTGGCATCTGTCGCCACTTAACTGTGTCCAGATTCTGATGGAGGTCACTGAACATCAGTTTCTGTCCTCTCGGGACTTAAAACGCTTCAAATTGGCGGCTGTTCTGGGCAGCAATTCGCTGAACCCATGCTGAGCTGCTCAAACAACGACTGTACTATCTTCAGAGGTGTTGCCATCAAGTATGATGCCCTCAGTTGGCCTGGACAGCAATGTATTTGAAACGCGCTTTCTCTCTCTCTCTCTCTTCAACTCAGATTTAAACTGTTCTCTTTGAACAACCATTCCAGCAAAGGATTTGGCTTTTGAGACTCGAAGCAATGGTCATATTTTCCTTCAGGGCCAGGTAATGAAGCTGCGAACCACGGGGAACGAAGAGAAAAAAAAGAACGAAGCAAAGTATGGCTGGAGTGAAATGCTGACAAACAATGCCACTAAAAGCCGCAAGGTCTCCGAGACAGGTGGACGTGTAATTCGTCAGCCAGCATTGTGTGCATTCAATTGGATCCCACCTTGCATGAAAACACTGGAATCGCGAACATAAAGAAAACTGAGCAGCTGAGCTGAGCTGCCATTCCAAGCACTGCTTCACACAAGTGGGCCATGTTGTGGCCCAGCACCAAGCACCATCCGTGATACAGTTGTGACAAAGCGAGACTCGGTCCTGCAACAATGAAACCACTGCAAAGCTTGAAGGCGGTTGCAGAATGAAACCAATGGACCCGAGAATAGAATTCCTCAAATTCAGAGTCATTCGGCAAATAGCAGGAGTGACTCTGCACTTTGGGGGGACTCCAGGCTGTCCAAATAATGGTGAAAAGTAAATGTTGCTGCATTACTGGCTTCCATACACAGGCATTTAGACCCCATACTAGTTTCTGTTCCAAGATCCGCTGGAGTTGTGTCAGCGCTTCAAGGAACATGGAGACCTGGACAAGACCCGGACCACACACACCAGAACCACATCGTAGCCAAGCCAATGCAGCCAATGCTGCCAATGCCGTCAGCCCCCTTCAAAGCAACCCCATTGACAAGGAAAACGAAACGTTTTGACATGCAAAAACTTTAAACTGTTTTAGGACAACACCTACTTGCAACCATTTGCCTGCGTTGTTGCATTGGTGCATCAGGTGTCAAGAAATCATGATTGTCAACCAATGTTTTCACAGCTCTTGATCGGAATGACTAGTCTCCGAAAATGTTATTACTATTCTGGTAAGTTTCTACTTTCCATATTTTAACCTGCAAGGAATCATCACATTGTCACTTGCTATGTTGTTGCGACTGCACAATTTAATTCCAAGGAATCCGAAGTGCCACAACAATCCAAAATGGAAGAGTCACACGAAAAACTACCCAGTACCATCCAGAATGTCATTGGATGCGTGAGGATTCTTACCCAATTTGACCTGCAATGACAGTCACAGCTATGACCAAGCAACTGCATGGCAAAAGAATGAAAAAAGAGAAACCAAAATAGGAACTTGGTTGTTCCTCAACAAGCAGGAGACTGTATGCATTACATACATATAGTCGTGAACCAAGTTTGCGATACGCAAACAGTATATCCACCTCATGGCTTTGGCAATACGGCAACATGACTGCTCACTTCCCTGTTCCACTTGCTGGCTTATTTGTTCCAAGGAACAGCCCCGTCCTGTGGGCAAAGTCCCTTGGCCTCCTGTCACCCAACCATTGAACTTCTCACACAATGGGGCCACATTGAAGACCGAAATACAGCACACAGACCTAGACACCCAATAGCATTTCATTTAAAAGGCCGCACGAGGCATATTTGCGCTGTTGTTTGCTCTTTTGTAACCGTAAACCACAACCAGAGTCCAAAACAAATACCGCCCGCATCGACCCCAAACAGCAGCGGCAGATCAACGTTTCTTTTGCCAGCGATCCTTAGAGAAAGGAGCACACAGGGAGACAAAGCAGAATCATCTCAGCCCAGCATCCAGAAGAGCCATGGGAGACAAAAAGAGGCAATGCAGAATCATCCGAGCCCCATCTCTCCTTTTTTTCCATTCACTGCGGGTTCATGCTTAAAAACGTGATATGGCTAGCCTGCTGCAAGCAACATGCCAGCTCAGTGCCTGGCTAAAAAAAAATGCAAGGCCTTCCAGGCCTTCCTTCTCAGCTCTCTCAGCCGCGCTCTTATGCACCGAGGTAAAAAAAGAAATTGCAGCTATTGAAAAATTGACTATCATGACCCATGGGGCCCATGGCACAATCCTCCAACTCCAATGAGTCGAATTGTAACAACACAAGTTCGAGGAGGGAGGTCCAAACATTTTCGACTCAAGTGAAGGTCCATATGATAGGCTGTAACCTCATCTCAAACTGAAACAATGCATGAATCAAAGTCCTTACCAGCTTGGGTCAAAAAAGCACGGATCTGACCCATGAAAACGCTTGGTGTTGACTGGCATAAAGGCTCGGAATGGAGACTTCATCAAAATCATCAGAAACAATGGTGTTGGGGACTCTGTCGAACAGAGAGAGCCCCGCTCGAGCCCCGCTTCTGCCACTCAGCCGGTTGAGCGTTGGATGACCCGAGGTGGACTGACCGACAGTGATCGAAGATGATGACAAGAGCATGAAAACGTAGATCTCTGAGGACGAAACCCGAACAAAGGGTACTGTTGCTGAAGGACAGGGTTGATGTGGCAACAGACCTTGTCCACCAAGGCCAGGCACCTTTCCACTCAAAAGCAAAACGCTGCGAACGCTTGGGCCGTACACAGCAGTTGTGATTTGTACAAGCTTGTGAGTTGCATGACAAAGCAATGCCGACGGATCATGGAAGACGGCTGAGAAATGCTTGTGGAGGATGCTGAGTTCAGCCTCAGCACTTTGGGCCAACCCATTGGAGGAACGAAAACGAAGCAGCGGTTTGGGTTGTTTCGGGCAAAGTTGGCGGACGATGGAGCGCAGCGCACGTTCAACAACTGGCCGCCTCTTCAGCACAGAACATAATGGCAAAAGACTGCTGCCTTTCAAGGGCCTGTGCATGCTTGATTATTGGACTTACGGAGCTTAACATGATGGCAGTGCTTCCCATGTCATGAACAAAAAGGCAACTAGCCTGAAATCCCTCGCTGACAAACCAGGTCGAGGTCTTGAGTTGAGCTTTTCGATGGAGCGCCTGCGCTGACGGGCCGCTGATCACAGTGCTCGCCATCGGTCGAGGAGCCTTGTGGTCCCTGGAAGGGGACCCGGTCCATCTGTCTGCCAGTGCGGCCATGGGTACGACAGAGCACGAACTTCCATGCATCCCAGGAAAAAGCGTCTTTGTGGACCACAGGTGCGGCGTGGCGCGAACGGCTAAGAATGAATGGACGTAATGTCATTCGTCTGCTGGCACACATTGACAAAGTCAGTCACGAAGGAAAAACGGCATGGAATGAATTGTGCAAAGGAGACAGCCCGGCTCGCACAGAAAGTGGTATGGGTCAGCACCAGCAATCACTTCAGGTGGTGGCTGAGTGGATGGCATGGGGTATCCACACGTTTGGTTTCCTTCCATTTCGCCCCCTTGACAAAAATGATCTGAAACCCACGCGTGGACATCCAGGTCATAAGCTCCTGCCACAAAGCACTGCCCAAGCCGCCAGTGCTCCAACACTAAGTTGTAGAGCGACTGGAGGTGGCTCATTGTACAAGGTAGGCTTTGAGAGTGGTTAGAGAATATCGACGGGAGCTGGTGGTCCCCATAAGCACTTTACCCTTGTAGGTGGTACCGCTGTTCAGGATGATGAAGTCGAGGATCAGGACGGTGCTAATCTTGTAAGAGCGGCGTCGGCCTTGGGAGCGGCGAGTTCCAGCAGAGCCCCAAGCAGCAAGGCCGTTAGGAGCGTGCACACACCATGCACACGCAATCACATATGCGGGGCGTACCCCTGCTAGTGGGGGGGGCCCACAGGGGCCTCTGAGCCCAGGGCTTGCAGAGTCAATGGGACACAAGGAGACACGACAAAGGAAGACAAAAAGAGTGAGGGAGACAAAAATCATCCCAGCAGCATCCAGAAGAGCCACGGGAGACAAAGGGAGACAAAAGTAGACAAAGGGCCAGAAGTCATCTTCAGAACTCCTCACAGCAAAGCTGTTTGGGGAAAAAGGATGAGTTTCGGGGGTTGATGCGAATAGTTGATGAGCGATCAGGGCCTGGCTTGCCCAATGCAATGTTGCACAGGGTCCGCCTGCCCCAAAGACCTCCAATGTGTGCTCCGTACATGCCCTTTGTGATGACACCACCGATCGGTGCGGCTGGTCGAAAGCTATTGTTGTAGGTTGCTTTGCCTATCAACCGGCCTCTGCACATTTTGAAGTCATGCACTTGGCACACTCTGTGCCATCTGCCATCTTGGTAATGTTGAAATTGTGACCTTGGAAGCAGCAGCAAAAGGACCATAGCTGCCATAGTGTTTATTGAAGGTGGATACTTTCGAAACACACTGATTTATTTCACAAGGACCCAGGGGCATGTTGATTCGCAATCCGCCTTGCACAAGCACAGCAGGTCTTCCTTTCCACAGGAAGCCTCTCAAACTTCCAAGTTCCCGTCAGCGTAGATCAAGCCGACTCGCTATCGGTGGGTTGCTGATGAGAAGAAAGCACACATGAGTTGCTCGGTAAACACAGTCTTCTTGCCCAAGTAGTAACAGTACTAGGTAGCAGGGGATGGTCACATTCAAGACATGAACCTTTGGACTCCGCACACCCAGTATTAAGCCAACTGTCCCTTGGTCCAGAAGTGTTCCAACATTTTTGTAGCATTTTGTAGCCTGCCTTGCCACCTTTGCCATCATCAGAGCTTTTGCAGCCCTGACCATTTCGCACAAATCCCAAGAGCTGAGAAAGGTCATTGAGTCATTACTGTCGCGTGCACTGCAATTCATCATTTTCGCTCTTTGAAACTCAAGCCTTCCTACCACATGTTAACCATAGAGGTTCACGACTGTGGAAGATCCCATTGTCATTGTGGTCTTTGATGGTGCAAGTGTGGCTGCTGACAAGCACCTGCAAGATCGCAGGCAGCAGCAAGTAGCTTGCATAGCATAATCGCAGAAGCACACTTTGTCGGGCCATAATATGTCTCACCTGCAGGGAATCCTCCTCTGTCCCCAGGTTCCATAGGTTCGTAGCAGAAGGATACAGCAAAACAACATAGACTTTGTAGCACAAGCCTCACGTTCTGGCGCTCGTGAAGTCTTTTGAGCACTAGCAGCTTTGCTCAACCACGCACAAGAAACCAAAAAGGTCAATCACACACACATGCACAAGAAGCTGGTTCTTGGCTGCCAAAATGCCCAAGAAGTGTCTTCTGAACTTAACAAAAATGCCCTCTTGGAAACGCCTGTGGCGGGTACTGCATGGGCTGTGGCATGCGACCCATCTGGCCCTGCCCGTAGCCCATGTGAGAGCCTGGACAAAGGCAGTTTTTCAGTCTGCCCAGCGGAATGACGCACAGGTCACCAGTCGTAGCAAAATATACACTGGAATGCCACCAATGTCAGGCATATCTCAAAAACAATTTTCTACTTCTAAATCTTGTTTGCCGGCGGATGCTACAACTTCAGCCAAGAACTCAAGGCAAACAAAAAACATGAGCTGTGCCTCCATGGCCCCCGTATGGCTGCATGACTCAAAGGTCCAGCCACCTCTCTGACATGCAGCCAACATGAAAATCACGAAAGCAAAAGTCAACGCAAAGTTCGAAGCGATGTCTCTATCAAAAGACACGGTATCAAACGAATCAAACAGCAAGGTCTGAGAACCAGGCTTCTTCGCAGCATCACCTGTTGTGTTCATGCAGGTTGAAATCTCACTTTGCCTATATACTTGATGTTTATATATATATATATCCACATCTGTAACCGCACAGCATGTCCACATCTTGTCCACTCACATTTCTCGAGCAAGCCACCTCGGGTCAGGCAGGAGCAGCCGCTCCTGCAAGTTCCCAACACCAACACCAACACTACCAGGTACTTTTTTGCAAATTGTTTTGCCTTGGAACTTGGAACCACTTGGAAATGTTAACACCTGATTTGTTTCTTTTACAAATACCAGAAATACGCATCGTCTTGCCTTGGTCATCGGGAAGGCCAACCGCTTCCCATTTAGCAAATGACGCTGCGATCACGCAATTTGGCAGTGCATAAACAGGCAAACAAATCTATTTTGGATCATAAACAACCACACCACACTTGAACGCATTTCACATTTGTTACGTCTTCGGATATTGACACGAGTCCTAGTTTTGGGACGGATCCCACCACAAAAGAACAAACAAAACAAAGCAACTTGCAGCTTCGTTGAAACAAATTGAACAAACGTAGCGGAAAATTGGAGGTGAAATGACCTTAGAAACACTGTTCCGGCATCTTGGAATTTTTTTTTCATGAGGTGTGGTCGATCACTCTAACTGCCAACTGGATACCGATGCAAACTACAGTACGGCAAACGCAATGAAGAGAGACGGCTCAGGAGACGGTTTCAGAATGCAAAAACGGTTGCGATCAGGGCTTGGCTCCAGAGTTTCGGGGCTCCAAAAGCGTGGTTCATGATGTTCTCGGAATCCGTGGGTCCCAGAAGTCTTCCACAACTCGTCGCGGGCCTTCTGGGTCGGCCGTGGTGCTCTGTTGCCGGGCAGGGTTGGTCCCACGTCGGTTCGACCTCTGGTGTACCGACCCTGCCTGGCTCCGGTGCGCCGTGGCTCCCCCCCTGAAGAGCGCATGGCCCCCTCCCCGGGCTTCCTCCTCTGGCGGTTGGGCATTCTCTTCTTGCGCAGCTGGGGGTACCCCCAGCATCTCAGGCCAGACAACACCCACACACGGGGCCTCATCCCTGCTCCCTTGAACCGCGCTGGCCGGTGTGCCTTCACTGCACACCTGAACTTTCAACCTCCACCACACACCGCGGCCCACCGCCCCATCCGGGTGCGTTGGCACCGTCGACCCAGACAACTTTTCCTTCGACACCCACGCTGGCAAGGCTGGCCTTCCCGTGGACAACGGCTTGGGGAAGCCGCCAACCCGGGGCCCAGTGCCTCACCGGGCACACCTGTTGGAGGCGAGCGGCCTGAACTTGTCGCTGCCATGGAGGTCGACCTTGTCCAGCCGGACCCTGCTGCTCGGCGTAGTCGCCACTGCAGCGGCCGGGTTCGCTGCCCCGTCCCAGGCTGCCCTCCACCCGGTCTCCCAGACTTGGGAAAGCCCCTTCCGGGACGATTTCCTCTGGGTTCATGGGGACATGAACAGCAAGCGGAACATGATAGATAGGGCATCCTTCAAGTTGTTCCTGCGATGGCAGGATTACACTGCTATCCCTGAAGACAATAGTGTATTCCATGCTTTGCTGTAGCTTGTCCCAGATTGGGTCCTCTAGGTATGTCTGCGTGGCAGTTTGCAGAAAATCGATGGAGCGCCCAAACACTTTAAGGTCAGTTACTGAGACAAGATAGTCCATAACCTGGTCCTCTAGGTCCTCAAATCGATCAAATTTTGCCACACTGAGAGAGACCTTGATAGTAACCCCCGAGAGCGTTGTCAGCACTAAGGAGCAGTCCATGACCGGCTCCGTGTCAGGGGGAGCACTAAGTCTGGATGAGTCGGCAAGCTCCATGTCTGGCAGGCTACTTTCGTATGCTATTTGAGCCAAAAGCTTCTCACTCTGCTCATTGACTGCTACTAGAGCTGGGCAGGTTGTTAGAGACAGATGCTAAGGCACCCACCATGACCCCCGCATGGACTGGCCCGATGTTAGGAAAATTCATTATATAGCTCTTCGTCAAAGGCATCCGAATCGGGTCCTTCAGCGGGGAGCAGCTCCACCCACAGTGGTCTTTCAAATTTGTCACACATAAAGAAAGCATTGTGCTCTGCCTGCACAGACTGTTCAATCTCCTCCCAATCTAGGGGCGTAAAGCGTTGCAGTTGCTCACACCCACAGAAAGCACGGATGCCTACGTCACAGAGTTCTGTCGGGATGACCACTTCTTGGAGCGCAACACAATTAAGGAAAACTTCTTTGCCAATTTGCGTTAAGCCATATACAATTCAGAGCCACGCAGTGGGCAAAGGTGGAGTGGAGCAGGGCTGTGATTTCTGTGCACGTGAGGTTGACCTCCACAAGTCCTTTGCAGTTTTCACAGGCCCGTGGCCCGATATTGTGAAAGTCACCTGGCAGACAGAGCTGTTCAATGCCTGCTCCACAGAATGCGCCTTCAGGCAGCGCTCGAGGTTTGTTGGTGTGGTCCCTGGCAAAGGTGATGGATGTAAGTGTGAGACAACTCTCAAATGCATATCTGCCTAGCTGTGCCCCTGGTGCAAGGACTGTCATCAGTTTCTTGACTGACACCAACTCGACCAAGGGAGCAGCACTCCGCAAACACTCTTCGGCTGTACTGGACACTCCCGGGGCGGCCACTTCTCGCAGCACGTAGCACCCCTGGAAGGTCCCATCTTCAAGACTTATGACAGAGGGTGGGAGCTTGACAATTTGCAGTTGCTGACAACTCTGCCAGGCCGCGAATCCTACATGTTGAATGCCCATTGCCACTTCTACGCGCCGGAGCACGGGTGCAGCATAGAAGGCTCTGTCAGCAATTTCTCCGCGCGGGTTGGCCGGGACGCGTATAGCCTTGGGGTAGCTTTCTCTACCGTCAGCCTGGAACTGCCAGATGGAGTGTCCAGTGTGAAGGTCGAGTAGGTCCAGCTCACAGCCAAAGACATCCAAATCAGAGACTGTTGGCAGAAAGCAGAGAATGTCATCTTCCAGCTGTGCCACGTCCTCATACTGAGTGAGATTTGTTTGCATAGCATATTCCGTGCCTGCTATCGTCACCAAATCGATGCTGACATCATATCGGTCTTGGTCAAGCGGCATTGTCGCTGTGGGCGGCAGTCCGAACGTTCTTGCTCAAGTTGCTTGGGCCAAACAATTGAGGTAGCGAACATGCAGTCATTTCGAAAACAAAAAATACTCAGACAACAAGAAGTAGGGTGGCTAAGGCCACCCATCTCATGAAAGAGTCCAAATTACTAGGAGGTGGTAACTGTGTGCGGAGACTCCTACTCGAGACCGCCCTACTGCCACCACCCATAAGGCGGGGGCGGTGGGGGAGGCCTGATGTGACAGGAAGACCCCGCTGCAGACGAGGAGCTTCCCTCTCCTGGAGGAGGGACGGTACGGCGAGCTTTATTACGCGGATCAGAGTCTTCCTGACTGTAGCCCATTTGGTCCCTAAGTGCCTGCTTGTAGCCTGCGAGCTGCCTCCTAAACGTGGGGTTTCCAGTGAGCCATGCGCAGAGCTGGTCCCATTCGTCTTCTGTGTAGAGGCACTGGCCATATTGGTTATACGGGCGATCTTCCATTTTTGGACTGAGGGGATATCCATTACAGTAGTAGTTACGGTCGAGGCTTTGGCCATATTGATCTCGAAGAAGCGGCTACTGCAGTGGGCCACAGGCCATTAGGGGGAAACTGGTTCCGCCCGGACAAGGTCAAGGCCACGTCTTCGTTCGCCTGTCAGTTGCAATCCACATACAAGGACCTCTCCAGCGTGGATTTGGATCTCCCGGAAGGACTTCTTGTCGGTCTAGGTTATGCAGCCACCAGCCCGGACAGCCCGCTAGACTTCAGACAGGCACAAAATGCGGCCGAAAGATCGGGAGTCGCAAGCCCGCACCGTTGGAGTTTGATGTTGCCAACGAGCGCAAGGGTTGCCCAAGAAGTGTATGAGCCGTTAATCGGAATTCAGTATCCCATGTTGCGCAGCCGACTGGGAGACACCTGGCAAATAGGTACCACCTCAATCCGAGAGGATCACTTGATTGCCTCAGGCCTGAGATTTGTCCACTGGTGCCATGCTTCGCCCAATGTGGATGCAAGGAATAACCCAAGGAATAACCCTACTGTGCGAGTGTATCAACATCTCGAAGACAAACTTACCAAAGCAGGAGCCGACACCGATGACATCTTGGCCCTTACAACTACCCGGGAAGGGGCTACGAATCTACGTAATTACTTCTCCGTTGCAGGCAAAAAGGCTAATGCAGAAACTGCAGTCAAAGTTGCAGGTGCCA